AGCGATACGCACGATGTATCTAGACTACGTGCGTTGTTAAACAAAATAAAATATATGTAATTATATTTTTACTAAAAAAAATATATTATTCAAATATGGTAAATTGGGCTCACTTTTGTTCAACGGTGTAACGTTAAGACGTCCTGTAGTCTCGATAAAATTGATTGTTTTTGTTGTGGCTTGTTAATTGAATCATCGGATCTTTTTAACTGTGGATTAATGTGACCGTAATCAACATATTATTATTATATTAATAATTAAAAAAAAAACTATGACAAAACGAATGTTAAGACGGCCTTATATTTGGAATCGCACAGGTAATTTAAATAAGCCATTAGCCATTTCATTTTTAAGATAATTTGGAATATGATTTAAACTTGCTTTGGTACTAAATTATAGCAATTATAATTTTATATACATGACTATATAGTTGTTTTGTGGGCTGCAAATTTTATGTTTTGTTCGGTTATTATACAAAGGATAGTAGTATGTGATTGTGCGACGTGTTGGACTATATAGTAACACTAGGGGCTAGTGATCAGAGCGGTGATCAAGAGCAGCTAAATTTGTGGTGTGAGCAGAACTTACGTGAATTTTTCAAGGGCGGCAAAATTTGAGGTGCGAGAAAGAGTTTTACGTGTTACCGAAAAAGTTTGAGAAACGTTATCACAATGAGAATACATACATATATTAATAAATAAGAAGAAGTACAATAAATATAAGCGCGAATCTCCGAGATATGCATTAATGCGTTACTCTCGCATACAAAGTGTTGGTTTTACAGTATAAATTGAGTTTTTTTTTTTTTAATGAAGTAATGTATGGGCTTTTTACACAATTTATGTTGAGGTAATTGGGCCGGTATTTTTCACGGTGCCACGGGACAGCACTTAAGGTAAATCCTGCATTGATTGTTAGTTATTCTCCCGCACATTTCTTTGTCTTAAACATACTTCAAATATTTTATATATGGTGCCCAAGATGGAAAGGAGCAAATGTGTCGTGAGGCCGCACGGACCACTCTTAGCCTATCATTAGAGATCAGATCGTAGTTTTAATAAATTATCTTCCACTCTTCAGGCGGAAACAAAAAGGCTAACCGATTGAAATAGGCAAGATTGTGGTACCCAGCCGTACGGGATAGGCTATCATCAATAATTATGCATATTTTAAAATTTGTATACATGTTGAAAACGTATATATGTAAACAATTGATACATGTCTGTAGGATTTGAATAACGACTTTAGGCACGAATTATTAAAAAAAAAAAACAATAAGTTTCATATTTGATTTTGCTTTGAATTCAGCTAGAAACAAAGAAAACATTTATGTAAGTCTATGCGTATGTCAGTCTCGCACTTATCTAAAAGCCTAAATCAAGGCGTTACTAAAATTACACGGGCTGAATTTCAAACGGCGCTGCCCATTTTTGGTTTTAATTATAAAAATGACCTCACCGACCCCGGCGCGGCGTTTCCACGGTCGTTGTTTCATTAGTTTTACGAAACTCGAGTGAATTAGAGCAGCAATTTATGTGTACGACGTGTCCTAGACGGATTAGGCACAATACCATTACGTAAAATACGAGACAGACAGAATTTATACATGACGCTTTGTTTTATGAAACTTGCAGACTCCTTGACTAATATACGTACTACATGATGTGAGTCGACTATTATCAAAGCCGGCAATGTGACTTTTGGACAATTATTGGTAAATCAGAAAAACGAATTATTGACTTTATATTCCATTGGCAGTCACAAAACTCTTCTGAACGACATCTTAGATAAATAACAGGTTAAGTATTAACCTTTATTTAATGCAGGTTTTGAACCGTATTCTTTGAAGGAGACGATTATATTCAAATCAATCTGTATTGACATATCAATAACGTTTTTTTGTCCAAATGCACAGATTGCCACCTTTGATAATAGACGACTCATGTATCGTTTGTTGTATAGAGATTGAATTAACTAATAATTGTCTAATAAATGATGACCCGTATGTCGTCTGTGAAAAATTATATGAATAGGTGAATGTTTATCATAGAAGTCGTTATTTTGTTTATGTTTATGTTTTTTTTATTATTATTTTTTTATTGCTTAGATGGGTGGACTAGCTCACAGCCCACCCGGTGTAAAGTGATTACTGGAGCCCATGGACATCTACAACGTAAATGCGCCACCCACCTCGAGATATAAGTTCTAAGATCTCAGTATAGTTACAACGGCTGCCCCAACCTTCAAAATAAAATAAAATAATACAGAAAATATTACATTATAATATATCGTATTCTATACTAAGATGAGGTTTTCAATAATTTAAGTGTTGTTCTCACAACTTAACTCGACAATAACTCTAATGACACTAATAAAGCGAAAGTCAAGGGCATTGCTGAAAATGAATTCAATACAACTAGTTTGGTGATTACACCGTAGTCCAAGTCCCATTGAATACGAGACACAATGGCGAGACCATTAAGGTCACTGACCAATATTGAGACAGTTTCGCAACCTTAGTTGCGACATTACAACACGGCAAGTCCTGCGCTTAAACGCCCATCGCTCCAGGGCTGCACGACGTCAGTCCATTCACTAATTTTCCATTACTAGTGTAGTATTGCTAAGTGCTCAGAATCTTACCTTTTATCTCCGATGTTGTCATCGTAACTATTTAAAAAATAAACGGAATTCTACATCGAATTATTGATATTCCAAATGGTTCTATTTTGGTTCTGTCAGTGACACCCCTGCCGCTTAAATGTTCGATGTAGTCTATTTATTATTATTATTATTTTATATTTACAAGCTCTGTGGTATTGTTTAAGTCAAACTGTGCCCAGTCACGAATTCTTTATGAAGAAAATACCTATCGAAAAGCCTTGAAATGTGTTACTTTCATGGTCGTGGAATTCACCATCGTTAGTCGAGACCTGTATTTAAATGCGGCTGAATATTTTTTTATTTCTAAGAAAAATATATAATTTTCATTTTAATGTTTCTTTTTTGTAATACTAAGTAAACTAACTTGGTCGTCTAGTTTAAAAAAATGCCAACTTTAGTTATTGTTAATGTATACTTATACAAAGGTTGTCGTTTGAATGAAGGGCTCAATTACAAAAGAAGAGCTACGAGATGTCATCATTTCCGTATTTTCGTTAAAAAAATTGATAATAATAACTCTAGCAATGTTATAGAACGCTTAGTTACACTTGTCTATGGAATAGCAAAATTTTGTTTATCCTATTCTCGTTTACTCGCATATGAAAAACTTTTAAATATAATTATTAGATTAAAAGTTCACGCATCGACAATCTTACTTAGTGCCATTAACACGAACTTTAATAAATGAAGTATCAACTTTTCCACGTAAATGCTACGCGAAATTTCTTCAGTGTGACGTATCCAAAAATTTAAGAACAAATTCATATGATTACATTCATTCGATAGCTCTCGCAACCGATAAGATGGTGTGCGGATAGTTTCTTGACACTTGAAGTGAAATTCAAACGTTTGAAATTACATAATTAACAAACAAGCTCTCCACAGTTGACAGCTTAGCCTGAGCAAAAGTTTTCTCTAGCTATTATGATATTGGAAACATACGCATATTAAATTATATCAAGTACAATATTCCATAGTAATAGCTTTCAAATAGGAGACTTAGACCGAAGAGAACGGGAGTGTATCCCGGCAACCGTCATATACGATAAGGTAGACCGACGATTTAGTAAATTAAATTGGAACAATGAATTAAATTGATGAACGGCAACTGTTTTTAAAACAGCATTTCAAATTTATTCTGTTCCCAGCTATTTATCCCACATGGTGGTAGGGTCAGCTATCCTTCCTTACTTTACTGCTCTACTTCGCTTTGCTTGCGACATTCTCGTCAGCAACATTGCATTCCCTTTTGTCTTTCTTCGTATCCTTCCACCTTGTCTTGGTTCTGCCTTTAGGTCTCCGGCCGGGGAAGTCGAACAGTAGTGCCAAATCTTCGACTTAGGTGGATTTCTTTTTACGTAACCATACTATCTCAGCCTACTCTCCTGCATCTTGTCGGCAATGTCCTGTACACCGAGGCTTCCAAGCACTCGTTGCGGATTTTATCAAGTCTGGTCACGCCGCACATCCACTTCAGCAACTTGAATGGTCCCATATTTCGTTGCCATACATAAGAACAGGCCTCATTACGGTCTTATAGATCAAACCCTTGAGTTTAACGGGCAATTTGGTGTTACTTAACCGATATGCTATATTAGATATTTTGACTGACTAGCTTATTATCCAAATTTTTATTTTACACAAGAAAAAAGTAGTTGCGCTTTTTGCACACATCATAAATTGAATAAAAAATATTTGTGCGTCTGCCGCTGATTAACTAATTGCAGTGTAGTTTTAAGTTTAGAAATTTTATCTGTCTGTATGTCAAGTAAACGTTTTTGACCTTTGTGAACATGGGAACTAAAAAAGTTTGTAACAACAACATTACGATCGTAAAAGATAATCGTTATATTGGGTTGCTTGTAATCGAGTTTAAGCGTGTTCTCGTATGCTTTACGTAACGTCGACGACATAACTCAACCAATTAGTTGTAATTGGTCGTTGACAGCAGCCATCCGAACAAAATATCGATCGCTCTTACGTGCCGTACGTGATTTCGTAAAAATAACTTTTAACTCGTTACGCCGTTGAATTATGTCTTGTTTTTGTTAGTCAAATACTCTGATAGCTTCGTCGTTTAAAACTGGTTTTGTTTTTGTCTGAACTGTTTTGCATTGTACGGTCACGAGGAGATAGTTCGCTTGTATTAGCCAGAAATAATTAGTTGGAATCGCAGCAATGTAAAAATGAGACAACGACTAAACCGGCTTGTTTCTAGAGCATTTAAAAATAAGAATGAATATAATATAATAAAAAATAATACGGCTACTAAGTAGCCCGAGATATATGTTTAAATATACGTGGCATTAAACAATATATTTTATCTTTGTTCACAGAGAACCTAGCGCCTTCAGAATTAAAAAAGCTTAGAAATAAACAAAGGAAAGCCCAGCGTAAAGCAGAGCAAGAAAGCGCTCTGGCGGCACAAGTACAGGTAATTAATAGCATATTGTTTAATGAATCCCTATTCGAGTATTCACGGCCGACAATTTCTTAATAATCGGTTGTATTTTAACAACACTATCGGCTTGAACTGATATAAAAATCAATAAATGTTAATATTGCTTTTCAACAATATTACCATTTGATTGTCTTAATTTATTGGTGGTAAGACGTCTTATGAATCCGCACGGGTAGGTACCACCACCCTGCCTATTTCTGCCGTGAAGCAGTAATGCGTTTCGGTCTGGAGGGCGGGGCAGTCGTTATACTGTAAAAGCTGAGACTTAGAACTCATGTCTCAAGGTGGTTGGCGGCATTTACGTTGTAGATGTTTATGGGCTCCGGTAACCACTTAGCACCAGGTGGGCCGTGAGCTCGCCCATCCACCGAAGCAATAAAAAAAATCTATTAAAGTATTTGTAAAATTAGTCACTGACACGGGTGGCTTTTAGGGTATTCATAGAGCGCATTAGTAATGACAATGTACAATACTAATGCGCTGTGAATCGTTCGTGAATTTTGATTGTACCACTAGATTGTTTGTTTAGATGCTCCAAGCCGCTAAAACTATTAATTGATGTTAATTGACACGTGGATTAACGCCTACCTAATGTTTAGTTGTAACCGTCATTTGCAGATATCAATATGCATGCTACCCACTGACTAGTAATGTATCGTAAAAATCGATTATAATATAATGCAAATGTTCTTTCGTCTTATTCTACACTTCGAATCAATAAATTGAGTTGAATATTATCGTCATTGTGGCTCAAGAGTCAAGATACTCGGCAACGCTTTTTTTTCTTCTTTTTTTTGTTTTATTGCTCTTGTAGACAGACGAGCACACGGCCCAGCTGATGTGATGGTGAGTGGTTACCGTCGCCCATGGACGTCATCAATGCCAGGGGCAGAGCCAAGCCGCCGCCTACCGCTTAGTACTCTCCACAATCCTCGTTACATACGCATAATTCACATTTGAGACTTGCCTGAAATAAACCACGAAAAAACGTTAACGTCTGATCGTCGAAGAACCGTTGTTTTTGATCGAAAAGCTGTTCTGTTTCTGTTCAACAATAAACGTTTTCAGGTAAAACGGGAGCAGCATCATAAAGCGCGGCAACAGCAGGAACAAGGCGACCCCGAAGCGCCGCAACTCGACGAACTGATACCCGAGAAACTAGCGAGAGTAAGACGATTTTTTTTTCTTTCTTTTTTTTTTTTCGGTTCAGTTTCCTAAAGTTCTAGCGCCTAGGGGACTTGACGATCTGCAAGGTGTTGGGAGTGGGCCGCGGCAAGGAATTTTAGGGCCCTACCGCATTAAACGACTCCCCCGCACTCTCACACTCGACGTCCGATCTCCGATCTCCGTCCGGGGTGAGAACCCGGTCAGAGTAGGGGGGTTCCCGCGGTTAATACTACAACCAGACACACGGCGCAAAGAATAAGTCGTGCATTAACTATAGAACTGAAGCGTGTAGTCTACTAGCGTATGTAAGTGGTCGCGGGACTCCATGGACTGCCTTTCGCACCAATGTGTCGTCAAATACTAAAGGAGCTTAATGTTAAAACTAGACTCTCCAAAATAAGCATTTGTATATGGCTCGAAATAAGGGTCAGAACCTTGAGCAGCTGATGGTGACGTGCAAGATAGAGGGCAAACGTCCCAGAGGACGCAGTCCCACAAGATGGTCGGACCAAATTCGGTCTTGTCTTGACACCAAGCTCCACGATGCCCTCCACGAGGCCAAGGATCGCAGCAGATGGAAAACAATCGTACAAGAGTGATTGATGCCGCGAGGGAGTCATGACCCTTCAGTAATGAGGAGAACTACGCAAGGACGAGGAGAGTGGGTGCGGGTGACAAGCTCTTGTAATAGACCCCAAAAAGCAAACGAGATGTAGTGACGTCTAATTCGGTAATAACGGCCACAGTAAGTAACCTTCGAACCGCAACTGGTTCGAAACACGAACGGACAAAATTGTAGAAAAGTAGAATTAGTTGCAACTTTATTCATTGTATCCTGTAATAAATATGATAAAATGTAATTACCTCTATATTAAATAGTTGTAAGAGAAAGAAAGGAGTTTGCAACGAATTTTATGTAGTATTTAATGAAGGTTTTGTTCATTACAAGTACAGCCATCTAACGGTGAATACTGGTAATATGTATAAAATATATTCAAAGGAAACTTTACACTAAAACTACCACTGCTTTATATTTAAATAATAAGTGATAGTTAATTATTATAGATTTACCTCCAAGTAAGCATGCATTACAATGAATATAGTTTTACTTCCTAAACAAGACTTCCTGTTTAAGGAACTAACTGTCAACCTAACGGTGTCGAGCTATAGGACAATAGGTCAAATAACAATAAAACCTTCAACTTCTATATATAGAATCACAGCCGCCCGCTACGTAATGATAATAGATACGAATGAAATGAAAACGTATTTACACTCCTTCAAGGTTTGTTTTTAATTATGAATTAAGTCGAGGAATGTTTATAAAGAAATTTCATTTGTTATCGATTGAATCATTCGTATTATCGATATTGTGTACTGTGTAACGAAAACGAATTGGGTTTTGCTTTCTTTTTTTAATATAAAAATAATATAAATGAATCAGGACGGTCAACGCCAAAGACCCGTTATAACGTCGGTTGGATTTAAAACTAAAATTCAATTAATTTCAAGAGGAATTGTCAAATTTATAGTGTTGACTTACTACATAATTATAATTCGCATGTATCCCATTTAATATATTATTATAAGCGTTTTCAAAGACGATGTTTGCGAAAAACTAAAGCAATATATTTTTTTGTTCTAGGTAGAAGATCCATTAGAACAAGCATTGAAATTCTTGCAGCCCCTGAGGATACTCGCGGCGGACAGGATAGAGACACACCTAATGGCCTTCGAAATTTACTTTAGAAAAGGTATATTAATAGTTTATTTAAAATCCATTTAAAAAAAATGTATATAAATATTTTAATGACAATGGTTTCGAAGTGGAAACATATATAACTGTTTTTAAACAATAGATAAAAAAGCCATATTCATTTTCTAAGATAAACTTAAATATTTATAAATTGTTTGCTACTTTTTGTATTGCTTAGATGGGTCGAAGAGCTCACGGCCCACCTGGTGTTTATTGGTTACTGGAGCCCATAGACATGTACAATGTAAATGCCACCACCCACCTTGAGATATGAGTTCTAAGGTCTCAGTTTTTACAGTACAAAAAGCTACCACACCCTTCAAACTGAAACGCATTACTGCTTCACGGCCGAAATAGTTAGGGTTGTGGTATACTTCCCGTGCGGGGTCACAAGAGGTCCTACCACCTCAATCTCAAATGTCGCAATTACATAGTATAACGGCTGCCTCGTCCTTCAAATAAGAACGAATTATTGCTTCGTAGCAGAAATAAGCAGAGCCGTGGTGTGCACCCGTGCGGGCTCACAAAGCAACTCGAACCATCTGTAATTCCTACGCAAATTATTAGTTTTGCGGGTTTGATTTTACTTTTTTTTTCTTAGATGGGTGGTCGAGCTCACAGCCCACCTGGTGTTAAGTAGTTACTGAAGCCCATAGACATCTACAACGTAAATGCGCCACCCACCTTGAGACATAAGTTCTAAGGTCTCAGGTATAGTTACAACGGCTGCCCCACCCTTAAAACCGGAACGCATTACTGCTTCACGGCAGAAATAAACAGGGTGATGGTACCTACCCGCGCGGACTCAAGAGGTCCTACCACCAGTAATTACGCAAATTATAATTTTGCGGGTTTGATTTTACTTGACTTACACGATATTATATTCCTTCATCGTGGAAGTCTTTCGCACGTGTGCTAAATACGTGTTTTATTGGAAGATTGGTACCGGCTTGAGATATTTGAACATCGGCATTGCCTTGTCGCTCGAAACGAGTATACCTTAGGGTGTCTTAGCTGATATTTTGTGTCATTACTTGAATTCATTTCTTGTTATTTTGTAAGAAATCAGCAACGAATCTCAGGCAAGAATGTCTGCTTTTGTACCACCCTGTATACAAATGTATCTTATTTCTTTGAAATAAAAACGTGTAACCCTTACTTAAGGTCTGCTTTTGTAAATGAATTTCAACATATTTTAAATAAGACAACCGAAGCATTTAAAGCAATCAATTTCTTCACTATACAACCTTCTGTTTTGCAGGAATCAACAATATTAACAGATACGTCACATGAAAAAATCCATTTCCACCGTATATTACCCGATATACCTCACAAACGTCAAAACCCAAAAGTGGCCATATTAAAATTGTATTAAAATGTTACATTTTGTTTCGCAGAAAAGCCCCTACTGATGCTGCAGTGTATAAAGAGAGCGTGGAAATTGGACAGCGAGAATCCTGAGCTGGTGGACTGTCTGGTTCGTTTCCAACGGTGGCTGGAGGAATCACTTTCCGGGCTGCATCCGAACGTTGCGGCCGTTCTTAAGACTGAGACCCAACCGGTTAGTGTTTGTTAAAAAAAACTCTTTCATTTATCTTGATAGGGAGTCGGGTTCGACTAAGTGTGGTCAACGCTACACACCGACTTGGGCAACACAGCCGGACGCAAAATATAAATCGTTTGGAAGCTCTGGATTTACAGGGGGACTTTGGTTATATTTGTGTATTGTATCTTATGTTCCGCGGGGATTTCGGTGATAGATTCAGATAGATTTCATTTATCTTGATAGGGAGTCGGGTTCCACTAAATGTGGTCAACGCTACACACCGACTTGGGCAACACAGTTGGACACAAAATGTAAATCGTTTGGTACCTCTGGATCTACAGGGGGATTTTGGTTATATCTGTGTTTTGTATCGTATGTTCTAGATGGAGTGCTCTAAGTAATTGCTTGAGATGATCCCATCATCTTGTTTTGTTCATCGACATTTGTACATTATATTGAATAGATAGCGTTGAAGTTCTTGGAATTTGTTTTTTTTGTTTTTTTTTTATAGCTTAGATGGGTGGACGAGCTCACAGCCCACCTGATGTTAAGTGGTTACTGGAGCCCATAGACATCCACAACGTAAATGCGCCACCCACCTTTGAGATACAAGTTCTAAGGTCTCAAGTATAGTAACGACGGCTGCCCCACCCTTCAAACCGAAACGCATTACTGCTTCACGGCAGAAATAGGCAGGGTGGTGGTACCCACCCGCGCGGACTCACAAGAGGTCCTATCACCAGTAATAAATGTAAATGTCGTTGATTGTTTTCTTATTTGTTTTAATTGAAAGTGAATGCCGCCACACCCACCTTGACACTAACGCGATCTAAGTCTCAATTATAAAGCATAACAGATGCCTCATCCTTCAAATAAGAATGCATTACTGCTTCGTAGCATCATTCATTCTTTATTTTTCGTTCACTCCGACGAAGTTTAGATCACATAATAGATCCTTAATTTGATTGGTCTCACCTAACCTGGTTTCTAATGCTTGAAAACAAGGAATTGACGGATTTAAAATAAATTTTAATGAGCTGTTCGGTAATATCTTCTCGAGTATTTGTGAACGATTTGAGTGATAGACAACCGCAAATTGCAATTACTATTTCTGAACGGGAAAATAAGAAAGGTTTGGCGGTAAACAACAACGTGGTTCCTCACATTTTCGATGCCAGTGTTGATATAGAAGGAGTTATATTGTGTGTTGTAATATCTTGTATGCGAGATAGCGAGATATTCACATTACACAGTTTTCACGTCGTAACCAGTGATGGATTTAGGTTTGATGTCGCTCTAGTCCCTGTTTATCGCGCTACCCTTAATGTTAGAATAAATTTAATTAAATTGTTCCCATATATTTAACTTAAATTAAAAAAAAAACATTACTCTTATATATTTTTATAAAATATTCGGTACTCATTTTCAAAGGAGACTGTCTTTACGTCTATATCGGTTATTAACCTTATTATTACCGTCTTAACGACTGACATTCGTCTTTTAAGTTTTGGCATTTCAAAAATTTTACCGCCCCTTCAAATCATGTCGCCCTGGGCCCAGGCTTCACGGGCCTGGACGCAAATGCATCACTGGTCATAGCCGATATAGACACTATTTTTACAATATGTGTTTTTGAATGTTGTTTGTATTTTGCCTTTAAAATAATGCGCACAAATGTGTACAACGAGGTGATATTATGATCGTGTCGATGTCTGTAGATGGTGTTGGGACGCAGCGCGCTGCAGATCGCGGAGCAGAGCGTGTCGGGCGCGGCGCGGCACGCGGCGGCGCTGTGGGCGGCGCGCGCGCTGCGGCGGCTCGTGCCCGACCGCACGGAGCAGGCGCTGCGCCTCGTCACCTCGCTCGACTACCCGGACGTCACTATACAGGTACGATACGACCGCTCGACGCTCGTGCCGGACCGATGCTCTAATCTATATACCTGAAGCAAAAACTTTGTACCCCTTTTTACGAAAATTGCGCGGACGAAGGATTTTTTCTGTTAATTTGTAACGAATATAAATGTTTTCAGAGTTGCGCAGACGTTTTAGAGAGCCTGAGGGAAGGCGACTTCGGTGAATGCGAGGCGGTTATAGAGCGCTACGTGGAGGCGTGCAGCGCGCGGTTCCCGTACGCGATCGCCTTCAAGCCCGCGCCCGCGCCCGAAGCGAGCGAGAACCATTCGGAAGAGACTACACCGCTACAGCCTAAAGAAATTACTGCCAACAACTAATGGCTGCGTCTGGCAGTGGCTCGAGGTTGAAATCAAAGGAAAATGTCCGAACGGGTGTTTGTATGTCCGTCTCGTAACGGGCGACCGCCGCGCGGACACGCAGTCGGTCAATTTGTATTTTGTTTATTGTTAATTTGTTTTTTTTTCTCTTTGATTTCATATTTCGATCTTCGAATTTGGCTATTGGCCAATTACGCACGAATCTAATGTTACTCTTCTGTTAACTATATATTTTTCGCGTTATCGTTTATCTTATTTAAATTATAGATAAAACAAATTTTCTTTTAGGAGAGTAATGTTAGGTTTAATCAGAAGATGAGAATTTCATTTGACGATTCGATATATTGTTAGTAAATTTCTCAATCAAGGAAATGTATTTATAACTGAAATTTTAAGTCTTACTAACTTTAGGGAGTATCAAAAGTACGCTGGTTCGGGTCGATTGGTCTTTCATATCAATAATAATGTCACAAAGACTGGTGAAGCGAGATACGGTTTGTTTTTCATTCGAATTTTATATATACATTGTTCATTTGCTGCGATTTATTTTGTTTCTTATTGAAAGTGCGCGATACGAAGTTACGAGACATCGTTGTGACTTAAAAATCGTGTCTAAAAGTTACCGAAAGCAATAAATTGACTGTTTAGTAGAGTAGGGTGCGGCTACAATGCATAAGGACTTACACGATCGATGTACAAAATCACTTGTGATATATAAAAATAGCAATAATTAGTGAATACTGTTTTATTCGATTGAAACATTAATGTGCTTAGTGCGAGTTTCTTAACGTTCTCGATAGCGTAAAAGTTAACTCAATTTTGTATGCAGTTGGAACAGCGCCCCTAGCGGCAAACGTACGCAAACGATCCCATTCCATACAAATATGAGTTAACTTATACGCTATTGAGAAAGTTAAAAAACTCGCACTAAGCACACTGATTGTTCATTGTTAGATTTTCAATGTGTTCCTCCTTCGTGGCAGTTGGTCAGTAATCTTAACAGATTTCTGTAAATCGTATTTATGTTGAACTCTAATTAATTATAGAGTCAATAGTTTGGAAAACGGACTTTCAATTCTGCCTTTAAAGTGTTGTAACTTTGATGTCATATTATAAGACAGACGGCAGAATTTGCGTTTATGCAATATTGCAATTGTTGGTGCAATATCTTAGGGGCCTTACCCCTAAGATATTGCACCAACTTGTTGGCCCAACAATACTATTAAAATAAAGGAGTGCATTGCACCAATTCGTTGGCCCAACAATACTGATTTAAATAAATGTGAGCCTGAATTGTTCGAGCCGGAACAAGTGCCAGTACGCCTTTTTAATACAGTAAAAGCTCGTTATTCGCGGTGTATATGTTGGAATGGTTATTTACATATATGGGATTATAGGGAATACGTTCCTACGTGACAAACGCGTCGTAAAAAGTACTTATAAAAAAGTAATTACAACTACGCCTAAAGTATATCATGTTTAAATATACTTTAGGCGTAGTTGTAATAAAGTCTAGTTTACTTTTTTATACCTTTGAAGCCGCGTTTATAGGATATTCGGTTGGATACCAACTTATTGGAATTTTTTTTTCAATGTGAAATGAAATAATTCTTATAAGAATCTTATATTTGCCTAAAAGCGCCTTTTTAATCCGCAGATAATGAAAACGCAAATGAAGGGACCGCGAATAAGGGGCTTTTACTTTATTTCCAAAAACTAATTAAGGTTTACGGTTTGTGTATTGAGGTTATATTTTTTCTTTTTAATCAATAAAATTGGAAGACGACTGACGTTTTTGAGACGATGATGTTCAAATTAACATTATAAATCGCAATGAAAACATAATAATGATGACTACGTTATGTTCCTTTTATTTTTTAGTTCTTAGACTTGTACGTGTATTAATTATTTATAAAACGTGCCCCTAATGTGTCAGACTTTTTAAATTTTCAATCTCAAATATGTTGTGTGGTTTTAAATACGTTTAATTGTTATTTTCGCACTGTCGTGGTGGTTTTTTTTTGTTATCCCTATGCTTACGTATATTACTAGTGTGCATTTTGTAACATGCAACAGATAAAATAACAAACAGTATGATTTCATTAACAACTTATATTTTGGATTTAAAGAGTACATTAAATTGCAAAGTTGGGATTGGATTTCTCATATTTTTTATTATTAATTCTAGTCCAGTTGGAAGAGAACAAATAAAATGGTGTTTTGAATCATCAAATAAATAAATAAAACGCAATAATCGACTGTAACATTAATGTTACAATTTATTTTGTGTAAAGTTAAGTAATCTCTTTTCATATATAGTGTGGCCTGAAGTGTTCAATTCGAATTGTTAATATTTGGTAATTTAATTTTTTTTTACAGAAATACAGCATTACTCATTGCCACTTTACTCTCAGTCTAGGCAGGCTTTGTAAATAATACTTTTAAGTTGTCATTGAAAATTTCGATTTATACTCAGACCCTCCAGTCTTGTATGCCTATTTAAATATATACTTTTGGCAGAACTTTATTTCATGTTTTTTAGTTTAAAACATGAATTCAGGAGTCAATTTACTATGTAAAACTTTAATAAAAAAACGTTCGAATATAAATTAAAATCACTCAACTGTAGCGTTATACTTTCGTTTATTTCTGTAGATATGTGTAAAGTTTGACAATAATTATAATGATACTCCAGAAATGAGAATGCTACATGACAAAATAGTCTCGGATAAGAAATATTTTTATTGGGGTCATGATTTTATCTCATGAATTTTTTTATAAATGAAATGGCTGAAAAATATTGATTTCTATTTAATGTCCATTAGAGGTGTCAAATGACCCCATTAAATCACAACTTTTGATCATATATTTTATTACAATACAATAAAACAAATGCCTTACTACATGTCCTACTCGAGTTTTGTTAATGGAGTAATTTGTACCCCCGCATCATCTTGTACATAAATAAAATTTTATTTTATAAAATTATGATTTTCGTTTTAATTTTATTACTTGAAATTGTCACATTTAACAAGTAAGGATTATTAATTAAATTAAGGTACACTCCGCTAACACTGGTAACTTCTAGGTCTTCTCCCAGTTAGTAGACTTAAAATGTGACTAGAGCCCTACATTGCCTGGAGATCTTGAAAGTATGTTTCAGCAGTTGTTCTAGCTCTCTTTGCCCATAAACATAACTAGCAGTGGCTAGGAGCCTAAAAAAGGAAATTGATAATTTTTCAGTAACATGGTGAGTGGAGGACTTTACTTTTTAGGAGCGTGATCAGCTGACAGGGGCAATAATGAGAACAGATAACTAAGGAAAACTGGTATGGCTATAAAGCAGGACCAATGCTGACTAGGTGCCAACACAAATCTTAAATTCATACATAGGTATGTGTTCCTATTGAAAACAGAAAAGGGAAAATATCACAACAGTGGCTTTTTAATGTTACAATTTATATTTATAATTATTTCATCTACATGTTTTTACTTTTGTTTTTTGTTAAACTGGCAACTATACCTGTATAAATTTATATAATGTACAAACTAAATAACCAGTATAAACCTTTTTTTTTTTGTAATGTTAGGACTATTCATTCTGAACTATAAATCAAATGTTTGCTGTTTTCTAAAAAAAAATTTCCAAACCCAGTAAAATAATCTTAGAAATTATAAAATAAAAGACAAGTTTCAATGAATTCATTTCACTAAATGTCATATATTCCATATTCATTACAAATTGGGTTTTACCAAAACAATTATGAGTTTTTGTTTATAATGTTCTTTGTTGCACTGAGATAATAATTTATTCAAGTAAGTGATGTCACCTAAATTGGTCGAATTAAGTTCAATAATTCTGACTTGGTAATTAAAATACAGGCATTCTGCCAATACATATTTTCTATTAATTTTGGTAAGTAATTAAAAGTACTTTTTAATTGATTAATTTAATAGTGATGTACAAGCAGCCTCTATTTTGTTGGGCTAACCAAATCCCAGTCAATGTCGAAATTTATTTCAATTTTACTTATCCTCGGTTTGTATTGTCTGCAATAAAAAAAATCTTGTTAAAAGTGTTCACTGGATTTTTGTAATGTAGATACAGAAATGGTTATTTTAAGAAATCTTTATATTTAAAGTAATATAATATGAGGTTTATACTCACTTATATATTATATTGGAAGCATTAAACATCTTCTTTGATGCAATGTACTCAGGCCTATGTGCATTTTTGTCTGATAAATATACCACCTTTTTAATACCAGACTGTATGATCATTTTTGCACATTCGTTACATGGAAACAATCCTACATAGATTGTGCAGTCTTTGACATCTGCAGAGTTTTTGTTCAATATTGCATTCATTTCTGCATGACATACTAAAAATGGATTTTGAATACAAAATTTAGGTTTTTGTTCATATATTTAATTGAATTAATGCTACCAAAAAATTAACCTAAAATTGTCATTGCCTCCAACTGATGTTAAGTGGTTACTGGTAAATGCCATCACTCATCTTGAGACATAGTTCTAAGTCTTCATTTTTTCAGAAGAATGATTACTACACTCTTCTAGCTAGAAATGCATTCCTGCTACACCACAGAAATAGGCAGGTTTACAAATCAAATCATCTTACCACCAGTATTAACACAAATCATACTTTTTCTAGTTTTGATCTTTTACAAGATGTTTTTCCTTCATTGCTGAAGTCATTTGAGAACATTTGTAAAGTATATATTTGTTATAAAAGGTGGTACCTGCCACTGCCAGGATTCATAGACTGACACAGTCACATAGCTTGATTACACCGGGCCTCTTATCCCGTAGGACATCACAATTTTAAATCAGCCTAATATAGCACCACCACATGTCCTTCGATCTGTGTTTTCAAAGGGGATCACTGTAGAGGATTGCCAGTAATCTCTGACTATTATTACAGTATAAGGTGTCTATTGGTATCTTGGTTTAAGGTACCTTTCTATAGTGACAGCATATTGTAAGTCTTAATTTACAAGGATTTCAAATATTTGTAACTTAATTGAGGTAGTAGTTTAATGCTTACCATAAAGATATTTGCTATCTAGTGGTGATGGAGTGTTCTTTCCCCAGGGAAAGTCGTCATCATTACAACCAATTGGCATTCCATTATAACTGGAACATGGTAAAATGCTTTTTTAAAATTTATGTAATGTAATATTTTTGCTTTTTTACGAACTTTAGGATAATAGTTAATTTATATCTAAGTGAGGATTAAGGCTCTGAAGACGAGACTAAACAAAAACGAATATAGTAAAAGTTATTTTTGATGTTTTTGATAAAGGTACGTATTTAATGAATCACAAGATATTGCTCAAATACTAATAATATTTATATTTACCCTATGCCGACTATTTTATTATCATTATTAACTATGCATGCGCCGACTTGCGTTTTGGGATCTTTGCTGCGTTTTGCCGCCAAAAAAGCAACAGCCATAAAATATTCTTGCCAATCTATATAATCGTTTCGTTTCTTCGCTGTTTGTTCCCTGGTTTACGTAAAACAACAAATAACTACATTAATATGCATAAATTATTTTATTAGATTCGTTGGTTATAAAACAATAACTGTTTACTTACTCGTGTAAAGATATGTTGGCAATGTTTTCAGTTAAATCCATGGTGATAATCTGATATATTTGTTAAACAATAACAACAAGGATTAGATCAGATATTTAAACACTATCTTGTCATTAACATCAAAACATTATTATCAATCAATGTATCGATTAAATAAAAATGTTATTTGTAGCTTGCAGGTACGGTCGGTACTAGGTTTTTTTTTAAGAGATTTTATGACCTGGTAACTAAGACCTTTAAGTCATGTCTTATTTTACTTTATATTCTTAATTTTATGAAAAATGATAATATGGAGTGAAATGAAATGAAGATGATTAATTTGAGACATTAATCAACTGGGATGAAATTTAATGAAATGAGATGATATGGGATGAAATATAATCGCAGTAAAATGGTGGTCATTTACTGAGATTTTTTCAGTGGACTTTTTTGAGGAACCCGAGAAGTTACGTCCAGCAGCTTTGTTTCATTTTCCCACATTTGTGCACTTTCACAGATATTAAACAGTTACTAAACCACCATTATTACACATTTAAACCTGAAGAAACACTAAATAGACAAAATAAAACAAATCACACAACTTCACTCCTTGCGTTCCCGCCAAAAAGTCTCACGGTACTAGGTAGGTATGTACATCCATAGATTATACACTTAATATATTTGTGTACATCCATAGGCACTTTTTTATTTTTTATTGTGGCTCGCACGGTTTGTGCATTTGCCACTACTGGTTTGGAAAAGATTGGAAACCAGTTTTATTTAGGAATCAATTGGAAGGTTCGAAATTTGGCAAGCATAATATTAAGTAATAGGATTAGGGTAGATAATAATATATGATAAAGCCCAAGAGTTCATATATAGTGATTGGATATAAATAAAAAGAATATTATATTTTAAAACTGTTCACATTTTAATATTATTATTAAATAAAAAACTTGATATCAAGTTATACAAATCAGAATATATAGTACTTAATAATGTAGGAAGTAATGTGGGAAGGGGAACCCGGGGGCTTATCAAGGAATTTATGGATGAGGAGCAGTCACGTCGGAGGCATCCAAAGAAAATGTGATTCAAGTCCTCCTCAGCAAAGCCACAAGCACACAAACTATTGTCAATGACACCGAGTCTAGTGAGGCAAGAAGCTGTACAAACATGCCTCAATCGCATTCTTTTATTACAGGAAGTTGCAAGCTTCATAAGTACTTTATGTAGATACTTACATCATGATATGTTTTTATATTTCTTCTTCTTTATTTTTTGACTCCGGCACAGTTTGTGCATTAGCCAGCGTCAAGTAATAAGATTTTTATAATTCGCCGATTTAATTATTTACAGTTTATGAATAATAAAAAATGAAGGAAACTAATTGCGACATAACATAAATGATTAAAAACGAATTAAATTTACAAATGAGATGATATGTGATGAAATATAATCTCAGTAAAATGGTGGTCATTTACTGAGACTGACTTTTTGGCGGGAACGCGAGGAGTGAAGTTTTGTGATTTGTTTTATTTTGTCTATTTAGTGTTTCTTCGGGTTTAAATGTGTAACAATGGTGGTTTATTAACTGTTTAATATCTGTGAAAGTGCAAAAATGTGGGAAAATGAAACAAAGCCGTAACGTAACTTCTCAGGATCCTCCAAAAAGTCCACTGAAAAAATCTTAGTAAATGACCACCATTTTACTGAGATTATATTTCATCCCATTTAATTTCATCCCAGTTGATTAATGTCTCAAATTAATCATCTTCATATGATTTCAGTCCATAATATCATTTTTCATAACAATATGAATATAAATTAAAATAAGACATGACTTAAAGGCCTCAGTTACCAGGTCATAAAATCCCTTAAAAAAAACGGAGGCTTTTTTAGTGGACTTTTTGGAGGATCCCGAGAAGCTACGTCCAGCGGTTTTGTTTCATTTTCTCACAATTGTGCACTTTCACAAGTACGAAACAGTTATTAAGCCACCGTTACTACGCATTTAAACCTGAAGAAACACTAAATAAAATAGACAAATTATAACAAATCACACAACTTACTCCTCGCGCTCCCGCCAAAAGTCCTTTATATATTCTTGTAGTTTGCAGTTTGCACCTAGTTTTTTATTTGTCTGATTTGTTCTTGGGTGGACTAAGGGAATAGTGCCCATAGCGCCAAATCTTATAACAAAAGCTGAAGCCATGTCTGATGTATGGCAAATGAAATGGATCTTATTTGGAAACGAAATTGATTATGTGTGTCATGTAATTAAATTATGTGAGATATGACAACATTGTAGGTGGCGAATGAGATGAAATGGAATTATACACCATTTTTACACATTAAACCTTAAGAAGCACTATATTTACAAACTCAAACAATTCATATACCTTTTTACCTCGCATTTTCTTTAAAGTGTAAAAAAAATGTACCTATGTGTCTAATTTGCTGTGTTACCAACTGGTTGGTAACAGGTCCTAGATCAATTTCAAAACTCACTATATTTAAAATGCTTGAAACAAACCATAACTACCTAAACATTTTTTTAATGGATGGGCGAACAGCCATTGGTTTTACCTGTTAATACTGGAATCAAGAGACGCAACTTTGTGAATATCACCACCCAATTTAAGAGGTGAGACTGAGGTTCCAATTATATTGTATAATAGTTGTACCCCCCATGTAACCGGAATGCTTTACTACTTTGCGACAAAAATAGGGAGAGTGGCTTCCGAAGCATCCTACCACAAATCACTAATACCATTAGTGTCAATATTGGTGCACCACTAAATCAAGGCAGAACCACCATTTACGGACACCCGGTCGAGGGGGTAACAGAGCATGTTAAGTCGGACTCCGGTGCCTCCAGAGAAGAAGAGTTAAAAGAGGAAGTCCGGGGTCCTCCTCTTCTTCAAATTTTTGCCGGCAGACTACGCCTTGAGAAAGGCGCGCGAGGCGCTGCATGGCCACAGCCATGCAAGAGTTATCCCGCAAGACCGACTAAGCCCCATCGAGCCCCACCACTCCAACTCCACGAAACCCACGGTACCGCACAAAGCGCGCTGAAGGTTCGCCGTCGCCGGTACCCGTCCTGACAATTCCCGGATTTTATCCCCGGGAAGATCCCGCAGGACGTCGTCTCGGGAGACACACCGTGAGCGGAGCACAGGAGCCAACTTGCGCCACCTCACCACCGGATCCACAGCCGAGTATCGGGCGCCCCCGCACCTGGCATCCGACAGCCCCTACGGAAGATGAACGGGAGCTTCGCGCCCGTGCCGTCCACTCCGCTTTCTTCACTGAGGAACCGAAGAGGGATTCCACTCCCTTTCGTGCTGCTCGGCCTCACGGAACGCCTCGGCCTCCCACGAATTCTGGTCCTCTAGCATGCGGGCGATGACAGCCCGCAAGGAGAGGTCCCTCCCCAGCACCGCGATGAGGTCTCGCCGCGAGTGCTCCCAACGCGGGTACGCTTCGAGTGTATGCTAAGCGTCATCGCCCGGATGTCCGCACTGGTGGCAACCTGGATGTGGGTCTCTCCTGCAGACCTTCCACAGGTACCTCCCGAAGCAGCCATGCCCTGAGAGGAGGCGTGAGGTGGAAGGAGAGCGCGTGGTGTCGCCGATTTGACCATGCCTCCAGCACGGGCACCAGGCCCTCGAGGGTGGCTGGCGGGTGACAAAAGTTTAGCCAAGCTCCTCCAGCAATCGCTCCTTCCACTTGGCGTACGCCAGATGACGCGCAACACGCCTCCACCGACCGAAAGCCGACGGGCCGGGCGTCTCCCCCCGTAAAGTAAATACCTAAGGATAGATTGTTTAATTTGCTATAGATTTTTTTTAAAAAAGGCTGTAAACATGGCAAAATTACGTATTAAATGAGTACGGTGGCTATATGTAAAGAGCTGAATAATTAAAAAAAAATCTGATATCACGTTTCATCTTATCACTCAAACAATTTATTTATTTTTGTACCAATACAGTTAACTCAGTTTGTACTCGAAAACGAAGACAGGTGACAGGTTGCAGTGTGGGCGATACCTAAAGTAATGGAAATTAAACAATCAGGCTCAAACAATTATCTTGGCAGGCAATGTAAAATAATAATGAGCCGCTTGGTGCACACGGCCTCGTGGGACTAAATGGTAAATAGGCTGAGATTTATAAATAAACAGTTAGTAGTTTATTCTCGTTTCGACTCCGGAACGCTATCTTCACACCTTGCATACTATATCAGTTTAAAAGAGGAACTAAAAAAGTTTGTATACACTTCAAATGTATCATCATATCAACTACACGTAGTCCTTGGTCTAGAAAATAGTGTAGGCTCCCAACAATTTCTAATCGTATGGGGATAAACTTTAGTTTTAATTATTGAAATATTTTTGTTTCTGTTCGTATGACGAATTCATCGATCAATTCAATCATTCAGCTCGATACGACATTCGATCGACTGATCTACTAGATTCTTTAGACGTTCTTAAGACCAGTGAGACTTCGCCAGGTTCATACTCTGACGGGAACCAATTTTTTCCTCTACCCTATCCAGTGAATACCTACTTGGTTCGAATAAAATAATGTTCTACCTACGTTACTAGACCCGTGTACCCTTCAAGACATATCTAGTTAACGAATGCTAGCTAATGTCAGAATTGAAATTAATGTAGTGAAGAATGTCATCTGTTTAGAACATTATCCGCCCGCCATCCCCAGTGGAGGACGGGAGTCTGGCGATTTCTTCCTGAAAAAAAAAAAAAATTTTTTTCATTTTCTAAACATGAATTATTATTGTTAATTTTTGTTTTAAAATAGTGTCACGTAGATTGTGCTCCAAACTCGTAGCAGCCGTAATGAATACTTTAGGATAGCTTACTAGGATAGAAACATTCAAGCCTTTTGTATTTTTTGTAATCAGGAATAATAAGATTATTTTCTTACATAATATTTATAAAATCTTTTAAATAAGTTGAATAAAGTTATAGTACCGGATCTATTATTCCTTTGAATGAACAAAATAATTATTTAATTATTTCTTTTGATAAATAAAATCAGAAACGGTTGTAGATATCCTAACAAAACGTGGTTACCGCACATTAATGCAATCAACACTAGTTTAAGTTGATCGTAAGTAGTATATTCATTCAGGTAGCTAACAGTCTGTGTTTTTGTATTTCAGTCAGTGAG